AAAAAAAAAAAAACACCCAAAAATTACTTCAAAAGTTGTCGCAAGAGATATTTTTTTCTGTAGCAACAACTACGAAAGAATAAAAGAAAAAAAAAGAGTTTTATAATGGAATTCTTTTTTGTTATAATAAATACTTTTAAAACCGATAATCTAGACTCTTATATTTGGACAACTACTGCAACTAGGTATCCAAAAGTAGTGTAAAAATCAAGTATTTCTAGTAAATTGAATATCCTTAACAACTTAAAAAATAAATAGTTCTGTATTCTAAACCGTCACTTTTTTCAGCCTTAACGAATCCTTAGGTAACATCTTATAGCAAGATGTTTGTACTTCTAAGTAAAAACCTGACTATTAGTGGTTATGAAAATAGGAAGGCTAAGTACAGAAATAAAGTTTTATAATTTCAAATTTGTTTGAAAAGTAAGTATTTCTCAGCAAAGTCCCCTTCTTATGGCATGCGGCAGTTAAAATAGGGTACTTCTGGCATCGTAAACCAGAATAGCAAGAACAAAAACCGCTATACATTAAAAATTTTTACATTTATATTAGCCATTTTTTGGTGCACCTCTTACTGGCCCATTGTGAAACATCTTTTTGTAACGATGAAAGAAGTTGACTTGTTCGGCAACAACCTCCTACTATTTTATAAAACTAAAGTTGCTTAACCGCATTTTTTCAACAGTTATGCTTGATGCTATCCTGCAAGCTTCAAATTCTCTTAAAATAGAGTGTTTCAGAAAAAAAATTTTTTTCAAACAGAAAGACAGATTACTTTGCTGGATATTGATTTTCGAAACCCCATTTTGTTGTAACTTCTCAAATAGGAAGACACTGCGTAAAAAAACCTCCCTAAAGAATTCATAATTTCACAAGCCAGATGAATGATTATTAAAGAAATCTTAACAGATTGGTGCGACTTCTCCAAAACTATTGTTTCCAACAGAAAAAAGACGTTTTTTTTGCAGTACAGAACAGAGTGGGCCAAACCTCTGAAGAAGAATTGGTAAATTTTTAGGAATAAAGTTGTTTGTTTTCCCAGTCACGAATCTTGAGCGATCATTGACAGTTGTAGAAACCTAAAAAATTCGGGGAAAATGACATGGGCCTATATGTTAACGGTCTTAGAGAAGAAAAAAATCATAAATTATACTCTGCCCTTTGTCCAGAAATTGAAAAAAAACTGAAATACCCCTTGCTCAAAACTATGCTTTTGAAACGAATAAAGAAGTGCTAGAAGTAAGAATAGACCAGTGAATTAAAAGATTACTCCGTTATCTTAAAAACTCTGTGAACATAACAGTAATCATCATCAACAGTAATCATCTATCCAAGAGTGTCTTAGTCATAAATGTCAAAAAATATAATCTTGTTAAAAATATTAAGACAAGAAGGCTCTAAGTTTTTGGTTTTTCCAAAGCTTAAGTTAGAAAAAAAAAACAGAAAAAATGATTCAACCATCTGATCAACTTTTCGTATGCTGTTTCCCAAAAAAATGTTTACCTTTCAAAAAACGAGAAAATGCATTTTTGTACTTTCGCTTCTATACAGCGCAACTTTGTCCCTTCACCATAAAGAAATGACGATTTTAAAGATACTGCACAACGTATCAGTAAAAATGTAAAAAAAAGATTGGGATTATAACGTACTAACTCATCGTTTGAAACAGCTGCTTTAGAAAGATGAGTTAGTACATCAAACTCTGTATTCTCGGGTGACCGTCAGTCGAAATGGAACTGATGTCGGAACTGCATTCACGAAACTGTGGCATCGTTGGCTGCTTTTGAAATTGGTCAAAACAGAAAAACGCAGAAAGATTTTGAGCATTAGTCTTCGAAGAGGCTACTTGAATGCAGGAAGCAAGGTTTCAGGTGTGCTTTGGCTGTCCCGTGATCAGAATTAACAAGCTTATCACGTAGCTCAATTTCTAATGAGACCAATTAGGACCATCGAAACATAAATAAGACTTGACGTGGAATTACTCAACAAATTTTTATTAAACAGTATTAAATACTTCTTAATCCTGTACTCGTCGAGGAACATAGATTTGACCGCCGCAAATAAATATTTCTTCAGCTTTTTCAAAAATATATATTGTATGTAAATTTTTGCTCTAAGGAATAAGCGAAGAACAACCACTGCGAGGTCAAACCAGCGTTTACCGGGATGAGTCCGCGAAAGCGCTCAGTTGCCTTTGTATTTTGGTCTCCTGGTACGCTTCAAGTGAGAGCAATGTGGCTTCAAACGTTTACACCGCCAAAATGCACAAGATCTGCGGAGAGTTTTAGCCTTGCCACCTCACCTCTCATTCAGCAACTATTTATGTGCTGTTCTAGAGTTACGATCATTTTTACAAAAAATTCCGGTAAAAAACATGCTTTCTTGGAAGTGATTTAGCGAAAGTTCAAAAGTTTATTTTCTTGTAACCGTAATGCAAACTTCTTTTTGGCAACCTGATATTTTGTACGTGTTCTTAAATTTTAAGATACCAAGAACCAGATTAAATCCAATAAATGTACTAAAGAACCAGAAATTTGTTTACACACGACAAAGTTACATAAATAACGGAAAACGGCTGTTTTCGATAAAACGTCTACTTTATCCGTACCGGCGTGATCCAGTCCCACTGTTGTAATATTTCCCCATAAAACCTCCACTGTTTCTTTAATCCAAAACCAGCCAGACTCTACTAGCTGTCCAATTTTAAAAACAATTTGGAAAGTGGATTGATGAAGTTTGTAACCTGTCAGGAAATCAATAACAAACAGCAAATATGTTTCCCAGTTCTAAGTTTACATCAATAGTGTAGCCGAACTTGAAACTAAAACAGCTTTTAGATGCTCTGAAACACTTGAATTTTGAAGAAAAAGACGAATACGGAAGTGAACTCTGGCCATTGATTGAAAAGATCACGTAAGTCCCTACTGCACCTCAATTATTTTTGCTTCTCAGTCACTGCTTAAAAATACAGTAAGACTAATATTTGCAGTAATTGGAATATTGATGAGAATACCACAATCATCATTTAGTTGACTTACTCGTGACTACATTTCAGCGTTAAAGAATTAAATGAGCAAGAAATAAAGCAAAACAACTCCACTGTCAAGACGCACCCAGTCAAGTCCGTACCACTGTCCCGCCAAAAGGCCCCTCCAATGGCAAAACCTCAAATACCGAAGCTGTCCATTGAGCCCATGACAGAAGCTGAGATGCAAGAAGCATCAGAGACGTTCTCGGAACGTTACAGAACTGCGAAGCCATCAGTGACTGTTCGACCACTTTATTATAACATTCGTTCAAAATACCGTGGCATTCACCACCGCTAATATTCAATGTGCCCTATACAGATAGACCGTAGTCAAAAACTCATATCTGTAAAATTTACGCTTGCCACTACTTCTAATTCTGTAACAACTGCTTTTGCTTCTTATAATAAAAATACCATTCGTCTTCACATAATAAATTTTGAGTGAAATTCTGACAATCGTGCCATTCTCTACAGCACAACTGCTACAAGTTGTTACCAGCAAGCCTAGTCACAAAAAATTCAAAATCATCTTTTGAACAAATAGGCAGCATGAGATCATATTAAAATAAGGTCCAAAAACGCAATGGCAAAGTAAAGAATTAATGGCAAAAGTCAAGCCATTACAAAACAAATAATAAAACTTCAAATGTTCTAAAAGTCATCATTCCAAATCAATTCAGATTTAAACTACTCCTTCCTGCAATGCATCTTTTTTTTCAAGTTTTAAGAGATTAGGAAATCTGAGTACCAAATACCCTATATGGGCGAAAGGTGTTATTACCAAGTTTTTAAATAGAAAGAAGTAAGCGAAGTAAAATGAACGAAATTGATATTTACATCACTTAAAATTCTGTCTCGCTAGTTCAGGATTGAACTGAGAATTGTAAACTGTCGCTTTTTCATTTTTCTCCTGCGCTTCCTTTTTATCCGCAAAAAGTAGGGCAGCCGTCCTCTGCCTTTCAGCTTCTTCTCGCTTTAAACGTTCCATGCGCAACTTTTCCAAGGCAGGATTTGCATTTCTTTCCATTGGGAGTTCATATCTGTGTTTTTCACCTCGCCTTTTATGCTTCTTCGAGTGCTCCTCTTTATTGTGTTTGTGCCTTTTATTTTCCTTCCTTCGTTTTTTTTTTACAGAACTTTCTGCACGTTCACCGATATCACCAACGCCGCATATTTTATATTTCGACTTTTTTTCAGAGGCTTTTACAGCCCGTTCCTTTGGGACTTCATCGTACCACGATTTTTGCTGAAGATGACCCATACTAACAACTTCTTCCATAAGGACACCAGATGACATGTAATTGTTTTTACAAAAAGAAAAACTAACTTTTGTAAACTCGTTGGAACCTTCCCCTAAATATTTCAATATTCCAACTTTAGACTCATATTCCTCTCGTTCCTTTCTTTTCTCTTCTTCATACTCCTTATTTCCAGCTCCGTAATTCTTCCTTGTTTCCTCCTCCAGATCAGCGAAAAAATTGACATGGCCAGATGACGTCACTAGTTCTGAAATTTCGCCATCACCATTCCGTCGAACACCGTATAAATCAACAAATCTGTCCTCAGCATTTTTGCGCAAAAGATTAACCTAAAATGTTCATCACCACAGCGTGGGAAAACTTCACTGAGATTAAGGTTAATGAAGAAATCTGCAAGCAAAAGGCGTCATCCACTCCAAAATTCCTTGTTTTTCAGTCTAAATCACTTGTGCCAAAAACCTTGAACTCCTGTTCTGCTAGTTTTGCTCTTTCAGCGACCCGTTCCGCCTCTTCTGCTGCACGTTTCTGATCGCGCCGAACTCGAGCCACATTCTCTTTAGTCCTAACATGCCACTTCTTTTTGGGCAAAATATTCATAGTGTTCCACTAAAAGTCACTACAGAAAGCGAAAATAAATCTCAGAAATACTTGCAGAAATCAAATAAAATCAAAGATTCTAATAAGACTCTATTTCCACTCACACGAAACGTTTAAGTTTTTTGCAAAACATCAAAAATAATTAATTAATTCCCCATATTTGAAGATATCCGCCCTTGACAAAGCGTACGGCTTACTTGCACTTCCAAATTCACAGTACAAACGAAACTAAAGTTCTATTTTTATACCACGGTCAGTTTTTAACTGTAATAACAAAGCAAATTAAACAAATGAAAAATCAAAGAGGAACTCTTTCCCACAAGAACCATTATGCATCAAAATGTAATAATCAAAATGGAAAACTCAAAACATCAAAGGCTTTGCAAAAGAAACATATGAAGTCTTGGAAGTAAAATGCATTTGGCAACACTGAACTATGCGTACCAAACGAATATCATAAGGTTCAGTTTAAGGAAAAACAAACATACTGTACAGTGCAACGATATGAAAAGAAAAATGGAATAATTTCAAGCTAATGAGCCACTTGTAGTAAAAATAAAACCATAATTCTATATTACATTCTAAATAAACTACAAAAAAATATGCAGAACCGGAATTATTTATGCACGAAATCCAAATTGCCACAGGAAATTGCATTTACAAGCTCTTTCGCAGGATTTCAATTATGGAATAAAAAAAACACGTTTATATGTACAATGCGAAGGATAAACTTGATAATAATCATTTCTTAGAACCAATTCTACAAAAAAACCCCTAGCCTCGTATACCAAAAAAACTTCAGAGGTAGACAAAGTGAAGCAATTATTAAGCATATTCCATCGAGTTAAGAAAGAACAAAAGCAAAGAGAAATACCAAAGACACTTATATTCCATTAAATATAGATACTTCAAGTTAAATAGCCAAACTTAATTATCTGTATTCTGCGGGCGAAAAATTGAAATAAAAAAGTATAAAACACCTGACTAGGTTAATTGTAAGTGACAAATGATAAAATATAACAAATCCGGTATTTACTACAGTCAGCCAAATAAAAAACCATTCTGATTTCTACTAGAACCTTTACCTAAGAAAGGAAGATTAAATCAAATTTTAAAAAAGCTATTTTTCCCAGCAAAAATGTCTTACGACCAATTTTTTGCGAAAAATCTTTTCAACTCTGATTGAGGTAAACAGCGAAAGTCATTTAATTCACATTGAACGATTACCCATTTATCACAGCTCTGAACGACCTTGCACATAACAGCAGTGGTCAAGATTTTAATGACGGGACATACACTAATGGAATAGCGGCAGAAGGGAAAAGAGAAACTAGCTGTTCTCTCGTATCCTGGAAAACTCTTTCGCGATGCTGGAGTGGCCTTATACAATCAGGACGTGCAATGCGATAAGCTCTTGATGCGTTAAGAACAGTGTCTCGAATTAAATGTGGTAACTGTTTAACATGGACATGAGCACCATCATACAATGGACCAAACTCCAATGGCCTCTGTGTTTCAATGCGCACACGCATCAAAACTGTAGAAATGCGATAAAGAACTATGAGAACATCACAGAAACTAGTTGCTATGGTATCCCTTCGATAGGGACGGTTATGTTCGCTCCAAACAACATGGACTTCATCATTCCCCAAATGCTTTAGTTTTTGAGTTACGTCACCTTCAATAGGCTGGCACTGTGACGGTGCTTCGCAAATGAAAGTCAAAATTAAACGAAAATGAAGGAAAATAAAAAATAAAAACAAACCTCCCAGTTTGGTACTAACATGAAATATTAGCTCATTGTCAGCTGAGGCATAATATGGAGCATAGATGCCACCGGTAAGTCCACCGCTGTAGCCTAGATGATTCCTTCCAGTTTTTACTAACCAACCCAATCCAGCAACAAACTCATCGAAGGGTTCTGAGCCAGCACTGTTAGACAGAATTGAATTTTTATCCTGCAACAGCTAGAATTTTAAAAACAAATCTTTTAGAGTACAAATCAATCGTTTAATGACACTGTCAAAACATCTAAATCTCAGCAAAAACAACATCACATGAAAAACTGATTCACAAAATTAAAAAAATAAGCTAACTCCTGCTTGTTTTAAAAAAATAATTTGGTAAATGTAAAAAAAATATTTTTAACATTACAGGACAATGCAGCATTAAAAGTTATTATCTACTTGAAATTTCTACGATAGATACAAATTTAAAAAAAATACATAAAAGATTACAGCGAACAAAAATAATTTCATTTTATTTTTTGAAATCAAGTAAACAATTTGAAACACAAGAAGATACTTCTTGTCCTTTGGCTACATATATAACTGCTATTTTATGCAACTCTCTGGCACAGGTCTGGTCCAAATGTCGAACGTCGCGTGCAAAATTCGAAGCTGTTTGTTTGGCAGAATCCACAAAATGAAAATCTGCAGCAAGTAGACGCCACAAAGCGAACTTTTTTTCCACGACAGGTGAATCCGCTTCAACGTTCGCACGATTCTTCCTACTTGAGACGCAGGGTGTTCTTTGACACTGTTGTAGATAAGAATACATTTCTGTGCAATCCACTGGCTCGCTTTCGACCGATCTGGGTAATCGTGGCAGTTTCTTTAAAAAAATTATGATTAAACGTGTCAAAAATATCTTTAAAAAACGTAACCAAAAAAGTAAAAACTTAAAAACCTTTAGGGAACCTCTAAAAATTGTTGATGAAACGAAGTTATGCAACCAAAACCCTAAAATACTACATTTTTTTAACAACAGTAAAAACTTTGACAATTCCGCTAACTTTCAGTGGGTCTTCATTTTCTTCACTATCCTTAACCTTCTCTTTCATCGTTTTCACCGCCTTCCGTTCCCGATTTCCTAATTTTTTCAACCAGTCATTTAAATTAGATGCCTGCTGCTTCTTTCCGTCTTCCATAACAAACTGCCAACAGTGTTTTCCTACGGTGGTACGGCTTGTGACCCTAACTTCGTTTTCATGGTCAACACTACAAAATATCCAGTAAGACCTGAGAAGGGTAAAACAAAATGTGCATAGACAAGTGGCTACAGTTTGTCACTGAATTACCATAGGATAGAAGAACAGGTATCTATGTATATGCGCCCACTGCTCATCTGTTCCGTGTTTCCAAGAGTTGATGACTTTTTTTGTGAAGTTTCCAGAGAATTCCACTGAGCTACAGAGAAAGATGGAAGAGGGAATTGATGATAATGTGTCAGAATCAAACCCTCAAGGCAATGTCTCTTCTCCTGAACTACACGCTCAAGTAAGCTACGACGCAACGCTCCGTTACACAAACTTACTGACACACTCTGCCATAACAATTCGTTGGACCACCGCTCTTCAGTAACCTAAATAAAAACAGCTGTTTCTATCATTAAATATCATATAGAAAACTATTGGTACGAACAGGTGCTCATGTAAAATAAGAAAGAAAATGACTTAACATCTCCGAAATGCACCAACAGTAAATTAACAATCCCATGTCATTTAAAAAAAAATTTCATATACATTTAAAATGAAATAACAGCTGACGAGTAAAAGAAAACAAAATTAAAAAGCTTCCAAAAAAAAAAATAAATAAATGAAATTATTCTGTTCAAACAGTCAAAGAAAAAATATACCAGCTGCAAAGCGGTTTTCAAGAGTGCCAAAAGAGTGTCTGACTGTCCTAGCCGAGTCAGTTGATTAAGACTCGTGCAAAAGAGATGGAGCAACCGGCTGGAGCCACGTTGAGTCCTTAAGCGGCCTAACACTTCAGAAAGTAGTTTGGTGTCTGCACGCTCTATTATCAGTAACGCTAAAGCATTCAACGCCAAAGACAAGGCAGGAAGCGTAATTTCTGCAGAAGTAGTTCCAACTAGATTCAGAAGAAGGCCTTCCGCAGACGAATGGTCAGGGGATAGTAAAGCAGCAACCTGTTTGGTTCGTGCAACAAAAATGTTAGGTCGGTAAATTTTATATATGACCAATGTATTTCATAAAATCCTTCCCTATACTTCCAACTTCAACGACAGTATTTTTAGAAGAACATTTACCAATTGAAAAACTTACAGCTAGATGAAAAAGAAGAACTTTACACTATGTATCGCTGAATAACTAGAGTCAGGTAGAAGAATATTTCTTCTATTCCTCCAAGAAATATTAATTTACAGAAAAAACAACCTTTCTGTTCTGCAAAGCTAAATCACAGCTTCGTTTTCAAACAGGAAAGAAATACCTGTATGCTTCTTGGAGAATAGTTAAACTGTTTGATGAGTTGAGGCAGTGAAGCTAGAGTAGGTTTCGCTAAAGCAGAAATATGTTCGTGCGACATAGATGGCATATTTTCTAAAACTGCAAAGCACTGATCGGTGCCAATCGCTCTTGTTAATGCAAGCAATATATGCGCCTGAAAAAGAGAAAAAAGTCTGATGATCAAAAGTCTTAAATTGTTGTTTTAACAGCTGATCAACTACAATTAGCGTTCAAAAGGCCAGAAAATTTCAAAGAATGGAACCTGAACTAAGCTAGGTGGGTTAAGTGACGAAAGAACAGCGCAAAAAGCTGGTATGCATTGAGTTTGCAAAGCCGGCTGAAGCAATAAAAGTCGGCTGCAAATCCAGTGAACAAGAGAGTCTGTTCCGCTAACGCGTAACAGTGTCGTTATTGTTCTCGAAATTGTCTAAAACTCAACAAATGAAAATAAAAAGACAGGAAAAAGGCGCCAAAAGATTACTCACATCTTTCGAGTATACTCAGCGCTCCTATAAAAAGAAATTTTCCACAATAATGCATTTAGCCGTTAATAGCAACATAATCAATGATTTCTTAATGGCTAAAAATTCACTTGAACAGCAGTTTGAGCATGAGACGGATGTAACGGAGACACAAGGTTAACAATTCGCATCCACACTCGTAACCATACAGTAGTGTCGCCAGTCGACTAAAAGGTTGGCAATATTAAGCAAGAGACAAGGAAACTGATACTCTGATTAAAAACTGCTTCTAACACACTAAAATTAGGAGGAATTTATATTACTTTTTCAAATGACACAGGATAAAGACACTTCCAAAAACAAAACGTAATTTAAAAATCTATAGTACGTTTTTCCAACTAAAGTGAAATATTATGCCGATAATGCAAAATTTTTAAACCAGCAGATGAATATTAAACTTCAGAAAGTCAACTAACAATCGCTTTGACAGATACCACTATCAAAAAACTCGGTATTTCTTAAAAAAGGTAAATAAACAACATAAGTTTCATTTAGAAGCACTTTGTAATTTAAAAAAAAAGCCTAAAAATTCTTAAAAAACCAAACAATGAAACCACTTAAACATTTTATGACCACTTAAACCATTCTAAGTTTCATATACAGCTTCACGATAACCTCTCCAAAGATAGAAGTTCTTTGTTTCTATTTTTCATATCAGAGCACTTTAAATACCGTAACAGACACATAATTTACTTTTTTATCCCTTTAGAAGAAATCTTGTCTGCATTTCATACGTGTTTTCAAAATGAACACAATTGCAATGCCACTTAGTACATCTAAACAAAGTTCCATTTAAAAAAAATGCGTCGAGCGCTCTACTAAAAAAATGCTTTTTTTTACGAATAAATCTCCAGCAAAAAAAATAAAACATAAGAAGGGCAAATTCATGAATAATAAAACAATCAAAAAAGATTGTGATTTCGTTGTGATCACCGTTTCAAATCTGCTCAAGAATAAGATATGAAAAGGAATGGCGCACTATGAATGTCTCCAGATATTTAAAAAATAAATTTGGCCCATAAATTTTAAATTTTAACAACGATAGCTTCTATAACAAACAAAAGACAATTTATTACGTCATTTCCGCTCTCAAAAAATTTCTATTACCGACCAAAGCTTCTTCGTGTTAAAAACGATAAAAATTTACTTTTTTAAATTTATAAAGTTTCTGTAGACAAGAGCTCACTGCTTTGCAGGCATAACATAAGAATTATATCAAAAAATTTACAGTAAATATTGTTCTTTTACTCCACTTTTTAATCAAAATTTTTGTAAAAGAGGTATTCTTCATTATTTCTAAACCTTTAAAGACCAAAATTTATCATAAATGGTTTGTGGAAATTTACCTGCACAACAGAATTGATCTGCGCATTTTCATCTTCGGAGTTACTTTCTACTTCAGACCTACTATCTTCTGATCCAACACCAACAGAGATTTCTTCGTCTGTTTTCACAATTTCTTCACTTCGTTCTCTTCTAATATTAGGAAAAGAACCCTTAAAAGAGTATATTAGGCGAAAAAATTCAAAAATTTTTGATTTCTTCATAACTCTCGGTCGACAAATGCTAAGAAACCAACTTCGTTATCAGGCCAAAAAGTCACTCCATATATTGTTTAAATAAAAATTTTTTCAAAAAGTCCTTGAAGTTACTAAAAAATGAGAATGAAAGGATATAAACCGAAGAATTGTTGGCTGGGGGAGCAATATCAACTTCAAAAAGATTCAAAATAAGTGCACGCGTAACACAATCTACGACACGGCTCCACTGCTCAACCATTTGCATCCAACAGCCTGACTGGAAAACCGCTAAAACGTCGTCCCAAACCTTCTCATCAAAATCAACTCCTAAAGCAGACAAATTTCAACTATAATAAAATTAAAAGAAGCATTTTAAGGTTATCCATTCTGAACATTTATTACCTATAAGCATTCATGACCCAAAAAATGGAGATAGAAAAGTGATTTCGCAATGCAAAGAATAAACGATCAGTTAAAACGTGTAATAAGTTCTCTAAGACTACAAGGGACCTAATCAACAAACCTCGTATTGCTCTGACAAATACAATAACTACAAGAAGGTTTTGTGCTAAAGCTCCAGATGTGGCCCGACCGTATGCATCCGACCTACATAGATAATATTAACGACCTGGCTGCAAACCCCTACGAAAACCAAAAAAACAAAATTAATGTTATTAACAGTAACCTCGAAGTCACAACTCGAATTCCGTCCGCTAGGCTTTTAATAAGCTCACACCATACACGTGGTGACAACGAATACGTTAGTTGTGTAGCTGGATTAGCCAAATCTCGAGCTAGCTGAAGAAGATTCTGGGTTAAAGATATTGCCGAAGAAAGCCTCTCAACACAAGCTGTCAGGTGCGGACTGTGGAAAAATGAAGTGACGAAGTGTATCAATAATAACGACAATGATTCAATCGAGACGCTAGAATCAACAATAAAAGGAGGTAGTTCACGTTGAAGCAACCACATGCGAATAAGAGAGAACACCTAAAAAAAGGGAAAAACAATATCAACTATGCTATAATCCTTATTTCTCGCCTACATTGCCTAGTAATTTATTCACATAGAAAGATGATTTTTTATATGATAAGACATGAACAAATAAAAAATGCAGAAAAAAAAAATAAGTAAAACACTTTTAGCTCACTTTATAAATAACATTCGAACATGGCAACGGCAACATCACAGCTTCCTTCAATAATGTTAGCAAAGTGTTTGTTGCTTTCCGGCTAGAAAAAATAGCTTGTCGATATAACACTTGACCAGCAGCGAGAGTGTCATTCAGAGCTGGAGAAGTTGTTAAAGCAATGGTCGTCATCCACCTAAACTGTGCGAGTCTTAATATTAACATCACAATAGGCATTTTGTGCTAAAATCTCGTAATCAACCATTGAAAAAGCGAGAAAAAAGATTTATACTCAGAAAGTTTACATAAAAAATTATTGAACCTTATAAGCCAATAACGGGCAATGATAATTGGATCAGCAGTGTCTCTAACACTAACGTGTTCTTCAGTACCTTCCCACCCACCGTAAATATCAACTCCGTTCGTCTCAATATCAGGAAAAGTTTCATATATATACAGAACAATAACACGATCAACAAGAAACTTCGCGCACTCCAATCGCTGAGACTCGTCCTGCCACTCTATTCGCACAGTGCCTCTCGTGCAGTATTCAAGAAATTTGTCCAGATAAACCTTAAAATTTGACCCCTTCAAATTCATTTGCGCCATAAATCATAACGTACTTCTTATACAAGAATAGGTCACAGTAAAAATAGCTTACCTGCAACAACTGAGCCTTCTCCTTAGCCGAAGGTAGAGGAGTAGAGGGATTATTAATTAACGGACCACTTTTGATCGGCCCAGGGCCCGTTGGAGTACCTACTGTTTGACAGTAATTTTGCAACATATTTTCAGTCATACTACCATCCCTTAAATATGCTTCACTATCCAAAACAGAATTCTTGAAAATAGAAAGGCCGTCTTTTAGAATAATTTAAAAGGTGTCTTTTAGCAACAAATAAATTAAAAAAAAACAGTCCTGATGAATATTCATATATACGTTTATAACTGACTAACTTGCAACAGCACCTAATAATTAACGAAAGAATTAAAAAATAATTCAATAAAGTTTTTAAAAAAATTCTGAATGAAAATTCCAAATATGAATCAGTGCCTTTAGGCTTCAAGTTTTCCAACTAATAAAATCCTTATTATAATAGAAATAAATAACTTTTATAACAAGGCAAACCTAAGCGGGAAGTAAGGTAGCAGACACTGGAAAACATTATCCAACTGAGGTTGACCATTATGGTAAACTGCTAAGCATTGATACCATAACAGAAATAATCGTATTGCTATTTTTCGTACTGCCAATAAATTATGCGGAAAAAGAGCTTTTTTCATCACAAATTCTATAGCATGCTTTTGCCACCCTGAAAGGAATTAGTGAAAATATAATTTGAAGTACAATGAAGAGTAAACCAACATAATTTCAATTATCCATCTGAAAAATTTAAAACCTCTTCCAACCAATTCTGGTGCATAGCACAAAATTTGTTCTAAAGTCCATAAGGCCGATTCTGCTTCCAAAACAGCTTGACCAGCCTGAGTCAGATCAGCTTGAAGCAGCAAATCATCCATAAGATGAAAAGCTTCAAAATTGTGATCCTCCATAAATTGACGTTTCTCCTGTCAAAAGAAACATTACCTTAAGCAAACGACAAACGGTGAAATTTTCATCAATTTATTTCCCTTCTAATTGCAAATCAATAGCTTGCTATTAAAAAATCTAGAATCATAGTAAGGACTTTGAAATATTCAGTCTCGAACAGCTTACTTGAGAAGCCAATGCATCGAGGACAAGTTTGAGATGCTTCGCTCTAGAGGCGCAGTCACGATGGAGGTCGGTGAAACGCTGCAGCGAGCTCGTAACATCAGACGACTTTTGCTTCCGAACAAACATAACACCGAAAAATCTGAACTTTGAATCCTTACAAGGTCAATAACTACAACTGAAAAAATTAAACGCCTACTCAGAAAAAAATCAAGAAAAAACAGGTTTTGGATTTTCCAGAAAATCAGAGGCGGGAAATGATGGTCGATCGAATAAGAAAGTCAACCAAAAACAGCAGTAACCGAAGTAGAAAATTCATTCAAGGATCTCCAACCCTTATGACGAATAATCGAAAAAGATAAAAAGTGATGTAAAAATGAGACAGCAACCAAAAAAAAAACGATACAAAGTGATGAATAATTTTCATAACATTTATAAAGAAGCAATACATGTCGAAAAGACATTGGTTTAATAAAAACAAAACCAAAGAGGCCTTCAAAACGACAAAATTGCAAAAAAGAAGTGAAATTTTTATACCAAACAAGTTGAAAACTTCATCAATAATTCAGAAAGCAGCGAGTTCAAAAATGTAATTAAGAATTAAGACAACACTATATCATCAAGCTCTTTGACGTAAAATCATCAAAACAAAACAAATATGTACAACTAAAGCAACATTTCTGAATTCAAAAAAGGCAGTGGTAAGGTTACTCTTAAACCACCTAAACTTCATTAAAGAAAATTTAGTGCTAAGGAATCAGAAAATTTTGAGGTGCTTCACTCATTTCAATTTTACAAAAAATGCTATTCATGTTGGTCTCTTATTTTCCGCAAATTTAATACTTTCCAAAAATACTTCCGAAATCTAACACACCAGTTTCCGAAAATCCAATTGTCATCTGATAACATCTGAACGCCCCTAGAGCTGAAATTCAAGAGTTAAGACAGCATTACTTGCAAATTTAGTTTTGCATTTTGTATATCCTCACGCGTCAAATTCCATAGACCCACGCACTTTCCCATCGTACTCTCAAAGAAGCAGTATTTCAGAGATGCAAAAATATATATCAATGAAACCAGGTCTTAGTCCTGCCTTTAGAACAGTACTTATTTAGCACTCTGGCAATTCTTCAGGCAAAAAGCTGAAGGCTCAATATAAGCGAAAACTGACATAAAGAGGGAAAATATTAAAGTTCCCGAAGAAGAAGAAACTCAATTTCATCAAGTATCTCTCCAGAAATCATCTCCACAGCGGGAGTTTGACAAAAAATATTCCATTTCCCTTAAAATGCATCAGAACTTCGCGCCAAACGGAAATAAAACTCCATCAAGTGCACCAACCCTTGAGTATTTAGTCGTACGTTACAATTCAGCAGTGTTTAGTCGCACATTACAATTCTACGGAAAGAACGCGAACGACGATAGCGATATAAGCAATAAATATAACGAGAACTCAGGCAACTTAATGAATAAATACTTCTCATGGGACTAAACCATATATCTAACAACATGCGGAAAAACCCATAAACTGTTTCTTCGGCAACTTTCTTATTGAAAGAACGAACAAAAGAAAGAAATGTACATCAGCTGCATAATGAGCAACCAAAACTTTCTGAGAAAAAAGACAAATAAATATGCATCTGATAAGCATCAACAATAAAAAGATACAGAAAATATAACGGTTTTTTCGGAAATTTTGAAGCGGTTCACCATTTCCTAAGTGGAAATAACAATCAGTTCCAAAAAACTTTACTTAATTCAAAGACTAGAACTCTCATCGTTTAACAAAACCTTCGTTGCAAGCCTGTATATTTTTTTTTCTTTCCATATGATAGCAGCAAATATTCATTAGAAACCTTTTTTTATCCTTCATCTTTTAAACTGAACTGTCTCAACCTCCGCTTTAAAAAACAAAATCTCTCTGATTTGGAAGTTTGCATAGGTCATTTCAATAAACCATGCGTTAAAAAAATATTTTTTAAAAAACTGCTAAACACAGAATCTTTCTCCTGACGATAGATAACATGTAACTTCTAAGCCATATTTAAATAATTTTAAAAACTATTCTTCTAAAATCTACTAAAAAATCTGCTCTTTTTCCAAGTGAGAGCTTGTCGTAAACTCTAATAACTATTGCATTTTTAGAAAAAAAAAGGGTATCAGACCCGTTATAAGCTAGAGAGATCTCCTGTTAAAGTTTCGTTGAATATTAAGTACCTTTCAAACTACCTAAATTAGGATACATTAAAAAATGAATTGGAGGAATTTATAATTTAGACCGTCTTACATCAACCGTACAAAGTTATTACACTTCCACTGTCATCATCTGTAGAATCCGTCGCGAAAAGCCAATGCAGTAATCGTTTTAGAATGACCTTGGAACTGCCTTAATAACTAAAAAAAACTTATTATTACAGTCATTTTGTGCACTAAGAAAATAAGTTTTTTAATTACTTACCTTTTTCGTTGAAGTGCTCCATAACCGAATTTGTTTTCCTGATATAGTGAAAAGCGCTTCCGCGTCAGGAGTAAAAGCGCAATCCCATATCCAAAATGCTTCACTCTAAAAGAACACTTCTTACATTGGAAAATAAATTCCTCTATAAAAAACCTGAAAAAAAATAATCTTACCCCAGAACAATCCCTTACAGATATGCTATCTGTAGATTTCGTTAAGTTTGCTAAGTTCCAGAACATAGCCATTCCATCCGAACCAACAGTAACAAAATTGTTAGCATCAGGAGAAAACCGGCAACTTAGTGCTAATTTAGAATGAGCTTGCGTCTTTTTTTTCAGAATCCTAAAAAAGCATATGATTTTCCAGATAATAGTGAATATATTAAATTGAAGTAACCTAAGATTCGTCGGCAAATGGCAAAAACGGCATATTCAGTTTCTATATTCTCAAATAAAACCAACGGTTAACACAAAAAAAAAAAAAATAATAA